CTCAATAAATCTAAAAATTCTCCTGTTAGTAATCTCACTGGCTCACTAATTTGGGTTTAGTGGCATCCTTATATTGGTTTGCTGTTTGTTCTCTATATGGAGTGAGTAGACATTTGTTCATGCCTCCCAGAAATATTTCACACACCACTATACCACTGGGATTTTTGATGCATTACATAGGCTGTGCTTCAGGGTGCTAACTGGTGGAGCTGGAAAGGTGGTAAAAAGGATAGAAGACAGGAGGATGTTGGAGGTATACTTGTGAGAGGGTCATGAGATCTGACTGACAGGTAGTAGGACAGGTCTTAGAGTGCTGAGATATTGAGCCCAGGTATGGGAGGGAGAGAGTTCACAAGCCCCCAGATCCAGGTAAGAGGAGCTAGGGTAGGAGTAGATAGGCTAATGAGAATGTGTGATGGCTCTTCTAAAGTATTCATTGTTCACAGAGGAAGACAGCAACTCATCTTCTGAGAGGGCAGATGTCTTTGTACCTGTTGTTGACCAGCAAAGAAAAGGGCATTTTAAGTGATAAATGATAAATGGGGAGAACACATATGAATGGATTAAACTCACCTATGCAAATTGGTGATTGCTTATCTGATGAACATTCTCTCTTTAGGTTTTAATCAAAGAAGGGTCATCTAGGTTTGGCTGGACTTTATTGGGATCTGCCCTACCATGCCTTTGGCTCTATATAGAGTCACTAATCTTTCAGAGAAGACTATCACACTCTGTTTTCTCTGAAAGCTATGTCTGTGCTCATATGAACTGTCTAAGAACCTTCTCTACCCAGTCAGCCTTCCTTGTCTTCAAGACCCAGTTTGCACTAGGAAGGAAGTAGTGATGTAGAGGAGACCCATGCCTTCCTGAGGGCCTCCACATCACCTGTTCCCTCCTCTGTACCCACCTGTACTCTATGCCCACTTCCTTAACCATCTTCTGTACTTTCCTCTCTGCATGAATCCCTTCATAACTCAATCTGGTTAAGACAGGATTAAACTTGAGCACAACCAGAATTGACAGTGCTTCCTCTTCCTCTCCAGTAGTTTGTGATGGATTAGCTCTAGTTGGGGATTCACAAATTTGTGCTCCCAGGTGTTTCCTGGGTGATGACAGTGCCAGTGAGAAGAAGAAGCATGGCTCGGGGCTGAACTGGTGTCCAGGGCAACTCTACACTACAGTATGTGCCTGGGCTCAGGAGCTCAGACATGTTTGATGGAGAAGCCTTGGCATGTAGGCTGAGTGGAAAGATGAGACATGAAATACCTGAATGGAAAGCTCTGGCCCCTCTCGGCTAATCTTCACCTGATGCACCCTTCTGTTGGCCAAGTTCTCTGTGCTGATGGTGAACACATGACTTTCTTCCATGTTTAGCCGATAGCGAACTTGTAAACTTCCTTGAAAGCAAAGAAGTGGGGAAGGATTAGAACTAAGAATAACAAGCACAACACAGAAAGATGTGATTAAATTGTTCATGAATTGGTCATTTTGTTTCTGTTTCCTGAGTCTCAACGACTCAGTATTAAACTTTTGTAAAATCAATATGTTCATCAGAGTTGAAATACAAACTTCTGAATATAGCTACTAAGAAAAGTGAGTGTGTCTCTATATTGATCTTGTTGTTGTTTTCTATATGTGCCATTTTAAATTAAAATTCTAGTTTGAGATCAGCATGGTGGTGTAGACTTGTAATTTCAGCACTTTGGAGGCTGAGACAGGAGAATCAGGGTTACAGGCCAGCTGGACTACAGAGTAACCCTGCCTCAAAAAGACAACTAGAAGAAAGAATAGGGAGAGAGGGGAGGAAAGAAAGGAGAAGAGAGAAGGAAGGGGGAAAGGGAAGAGAGGAAGTCAGAGGTCCACTTTGACAAGCACACCCACAGACCTGTTTTGTAATTGGAATGTGAGATCATGAGCATGACTTGATTATTCTCATGACATGATTCTCTCAAAATAGCCTTCCTCCTTCTGAGCTTCAGAAAGTAGAAACCTACCCTTTCCAACCCACTGATGTATAATACAATGTTTCAGTTTAAGTGTGGTCTGACTAAGGTGTGGTGACCAACCTAATCCTTCATGGCCCCTTGGGAAATTCAAATTTACTAGGAGAGTGTTTTTCAAGCGACTGTTCACTATCCATGAGCTCAGGAATTCAATCTGCTGAATCTCAACCTCAGAGGTTACAAAATGGATGGAAACTAAAGGGATTTAAGAGAGTCTGGAAACACATATGAAGAAGGTAGAGAAGAGGGTTGAGGGGTTGAGGACGACAAACCATTGCAGCATAAGCAGAATGGCTACTTCAGGGTGAACATTCTTTGTCAACTTGAAAGCTATTCTACATGAAAAAGTGCCATGGCAGGCAAACATTCACTGGCTTCTTTATCTCAGGCATGTCTTCCCATTTCACCTCTCCAACATGGCTAGTGAGTGGCCCAGGTTGCTCTGTCTACTCTGAGGATTCACGTGTACTATACAGTTGGACTCTTCCTCAGACACCAGAAGCTCTCTCCTTGAGTACACAAGAGAGCACACCATGCTGAGAACAGAGTACAGTATCATACTCTGAGAGACATTAAGGAGAAAATACATTTACTCAAATTTGGGCCAATTATGATTCTGGTCCATCCCTTCACATCCGCCCATTTCTGTGACCTGCCTCGACCGACTCATTTTTCCCATTGCTGACAATCATAGGAAAACAACAGGGATTGTGTTGAAGATGGATATTCTTAGTCATCATGCCAGTGTTTGAATCCTCTTTTTCCTTTCTCTGCTTCTTTCTGTGTTTGTTAATATTCATTGTCTCTCTCTCTCCCCTAGGGTTCTCTATCACCACAGTCCTCCCTCAGGCCTACACAATGGTAAACACTTTAGGTTTACAGTCCCAGAGGTAGCAAACTGTCACAGGGAATGCACTGTCAATATAACAAACTAAAGAACTGGCTAAGTGCCAGGTCAGAAGTGCATTGAGAGCAATGCATCATACTGCATTTATCTCCCACTTGGTCTCATTTTTCTCTCTAGCCTACATTAGCAGTGCTGTGCATAAATGGGATACTTCCTCTGCATGAATATGGGCAGAGATTTTCTGTTTATAATATGGAAATTAAAAATAAAAGTGATTTTTGAGATGCAGTTATTGCCTCCTCTCTAAATATGTTCCTGAAATCAGCATTTGTAATAGAATGCACTCTGGTCACCAGCAAGTACCACATAAAATTTTAGTGGGTTCTTTTAATGTTGATACAATCAAATTATATCTATCCTCTTTTTTCCTCCATTTTTATACCTTTGAGCCAAATCTATACCTTTATTCCCCTCTGTGTGTGAGAACCCCACAAAGTTATCATCAATACTACTTAGAAAAGTAATAGTGAGGTCTGTTGAGATGTCTCAGCAGGTAATGGTGTTTGACTACCTGCGTTCCATTCCTGGGTCCCACAAGGACAGAATTGACTCTCAAAAGTTGTTTTCTGACTTCTACATACATGGCATGGCACAATAAATACTCATACAGAAACACACAGTGAATATATTAATATGATAAAACGTATGAAATTGAAAATAATAGTGCAACACTTATACTAAAAACAAACAAACAAACAAAACCCTAGAACAAAACATGGTGATGAGGATCCTTCTTCAAAAGAATCACATTTACATTCTAAAATATACTTCGTCAAACTGGACAGAATTACATTGCTTGCCTTACTAAGCAAATTCATCATGATTGAGTTTCTGCCTTCCATGTTCATCTAGGAAGTTCTTTCCTTTTCCCCCTTAATTTTATAGATATAAAAAAAATGAAAGTTTTGGAAATTGAAGAACTTCTTAAAATATTTACTTAATAATTTTTAGAGTCAGGTGTAGAATCTACATCTTAGTTTCAACACTCAAGGGTTTTCTTTAGAATGCAGTAGTCCTCAAAAGCCAGCCTTCCCTTTCCAGAGGAGCCTTCAGTGAGGAGAAGCTTTCACATTAGGCTCCTTCCTCCTTGTCCTTCAGAACTCATCATGATGTTTCCATTGGGAAACTACCTAGATTCTTTAAGCTCATAGACTTGTCTATCTTCACCCTAGCATACACTGTGGTATATAGATTTTAATCTGCATATTCTGTAGAGGTCAGAACATAGTTTTGGTGCTTGTGTGTGTGTGTGTGTGTGTGTGTGTGTGTGTGTGTGTGTGTGTGTGTGTGTGCATGTGTGTGTGTGTGAGAGAGATGTTTATTTGTATGCATATGTAGTGTGCATCTAAACCACTGTGCATATCCATTTGTGCACCTGTACAGGCTTAAGGTCTAGACTAAGAGTCTTCCTTGGTTTATCTCCACCTACTTTTTTGCCTTAAAAAGATGCTAGCCATTGTGTTAAATTCCCAGTCTAATCCAGTGGGATTTAATCTTAACTAAGTATATCAGTTCATATTCTATTTCCAAATGTCATTCTGAATTCTGTAAAGATGTTAAACTGGCTAGGAGAGTTTAAAAATTAGATTTACTATCAGTATAATTAAATATTTTTGGTTAGTGAATTTTGCTTCAGGATCTGTCATAACTATTATTTTCATCCTTTTTTATTCAGTCATTGAAGTTATTGAAACTAAGGTTGTAGCTCAGTGATGGAGTACTGTGGTTAACACTCACAAGGCCATGTGATCCCTGGCATGCCAAAAAACAGCAACCACAACAGAAAAAGCAAAATCACATGTGTATTATTATTTTATATCAAATTCAAATAGAAGGGAATTAAAATCTGTGAAACTAATCTTAACATGTGAACATTAGTCATTTTGTAGAGCTCTTCCCTTACAGTTAATTATGACTTACATTACAATTTAAGTTTCATCATGCTTACCTCCTTTTAGATCCCACCATAAAAACACAAAGTGTGGTTTAGAAGCCTTCGGATCAATTCATACAATAATGCCACTCTGGTTTCACAAAACAGACCAGAAAAAATACACCTACCTTGAGAAACTACATAAGCCCATTCTTAAGCTAAACCCATTTTCCAGGGCTTGTATTCACACTGGCTTATACAAAGTGATGGTTGAATGCAGTGATATAGTTACAAAAATCTAGAAGACCCATAAATTCTTTAAGAAAACTGCATAGATTGGAAGAACTACTATCATAAAATGTTCATACTGCTCAAGGCAAATTACAGATTGACTAAAATATGTATCAAAATTCCAGTCACAATATTTAATAAAATAGACTCCTAAATTTATATGGAACTGAAAAGACCCTAAAGGATAAAAAGAATTTTGAGAAGCAAAAACAACACAAAAAACCCTAAGGAGTAAACAGAATTTTGAGAAACAAAAACAAAACCATCATGGATGTGAAATAATATGGAAAAAATCAATAGTATTTACAAGAGAATGGTACTGGCATAGAATTAGACATCTAGATCTATGTAACATAATAAAGAGCTCATAGCTAAACATACACACACAAAGAAAAATACCCAATGATTAAAATATTTTTTGTTTTTTTCTTGAGCATTTCATAAATGTATTCTGATCATGCCCACCCCACACTGACTCTTATAACTCTTCCCAGACTAAGTCTTGACAAATCTCAAAGAACACATAAAGTGATATGAACTGCCTCTTTAGTAAATAATGATGAACTAATGAAGCTCCCACAAAAGAACAAAATGAGATATTTTTTGGAACACATTCAGAAGCTGACCTAGAACATATTAAAAGCTAAACTTTATGATCTAAAACTAATAAACTCCTAGAGAAAAAAAATGAAAAACATTTCTTAAAACTATAAATTCAAAATTAAAGTTTATAATAGTCAGAAGATATGGTGGACTGCATCAAATGGATATGCTTCTTGGCTTCCTAGGTCCAGGGCCAGCCAGATGGTCAGCTATGACAGTCACTGCTGAGCAAGCCTTATGAGTTCAAGCTCCAGAACCCACAGGGGAAGGAGAGAACAGACTCCTGAATGCTGTCCTCTCATTGCTCAAGTTCATATTGGCACAGGCACTTACACTTAATACATACTTCATGGACCCACATATACACAAATAATACATGAATTGAATATCATTTTTAAAGCTCATGTACAGTATACAGAACAACCAATATAAGAAAATGGTGACCAACAGAACCAGAAAAAAAACCCCACCTCAAAACAGATTATATAGCAAAGAGTCTACAAACATCCAAATACATAAAGATTTTACTACTCAGCGGCCATACAAAACACACAATCTGGATGAAATGGACACATCCTGAATGGATATTTTCAAGGAAAACACACACTGTCTAAAGGGAATAAACAGTATTCAACGAGATGGCAGTGGTGGCTCACGCTTTAATCCCAGCACATGTGAGGCAGAGGCAGGAGGATCACTGTGAGTTTGATGCCAGCCTGG